TAAACTGGAGCAACTTCATATAATGCAAGAACAGCAGAAATCTTTGGACATAGGAAATCAAGTGAATGTTTCCGAGGAGACAAAAGTTACAAATATTGGGAATCAGCAAATTGACAAGGGTTTTAACAACATTGGAGCAGACCTGACTGGCAGTGAGTCCAAAAATAAAGAGGATGGGTTGCAGAATAAACATAGAAGAGCATCACTTACACTTGAAGAAAAACGAAAATTAGCAAAAGAACAAGAGCAGGCACAGAAGTTAAAAAGCCAGAAGCCTCTTAAACCCCAAATGCACACACTTATTGCTACTGTTAAATAGACTAAGGACTCAAGAGGCACCTTGATGAGTAATATGTCATCTTTGACCAGCCTTTCTGTTAGTACCCCTAAACCTTCTGCTTCAAGTTCTTTCACTTCTGTTCCTTCCATGGCCATTGGCATAATGTTTTCTACATCAATTGATAATACAAAGAGAAATTTGACAAATGGCCTAAATGCCAGTATGGGCTTTCAGACTTCAGGATTCAGCATGCCTGTTAATACAAACCAGAACTTCTATAATAGTCCAAGCACACTTGGAGTGACCAAGATGACTCTGGGAACACCTCCCACTTTGCCAAACTTCAGCACTCTGAGTGTTCCTCCTGCTGGTGCAAAGCAGATCCAACAAAGACCCACAGATATGTCTGCCCCTAACAATCTCTTTGGCTCTCAGAAACCCAAAGTCAGCATGAACCAATTATCATAATAGAAATCCAATCAGTGGCTTAATCAGTTTGTACCTCCTCAAGGTTCTCCAGCTATGCGCAGTTCAGTAATGGGAACACAGACGAACATGATAGGACAATTTGCCTTTGGTATACAGGGTAATCCTTTCTTCAACCCACAGAATTTTGCAGCCACCAACTACTATGACCAATAGTAGTTCAGCTAGCAATGATTTAGAAGATCTTTTTGGGTGAGGTGTCTTTCTTCTGTTTTGAAGGATTATTTTAGTTTCAATCATGGGTGAGCTGATTTACATCTTTATATATTTTACCTGGAGGAACTACTTCTATGGGAAAGTGAATGGTTCTGTGACAGAAAACATCTGTGTCTGTGCCAGCATAGAAGTTGTATGGGCTTCTAACCCGTTGAGTTTTTTTAAAGCATTGAGAGATTTTTTCCTCTTACCAACTCCCTTTCAGGTTTTTAAAGACCCAACCCTTCCCAATTTCAAAGAGAAAAAGGTCAGCTGAGTTATCTTGACTAGTAGAATCTTTTAACCCAGTGTTTATTTTGGCTTGTGAATCTTGATGTTATTTTAAAAATTGAGTTAATCATCATTGCAAGCTCATCATGGTACACAGTCTACCTTCACGAGTCATTAGTCTTCATTTCAATATGTAAAATATCTTGATGCTGTATTGATTTGTTTGCATTTAAGATGACAGTGAGAAAATGACAAGCATAAAGAGAAGTATCAGGATATTTGCATTTTCCAAACTTACTTTTCAGATGAACTAATGTTTAGTACAAAGAGACTGAGCAAATAGTACACAACTTAATATAACCTTCATTTCATTGGTTTAGATGCGTTATTAACCATTTTAAATGCAAACTAATCATTGTAAATTATATTTTAGCATGGTCTGCCTCAAATAGCAATGTATTTTTCTGCATTTGCTTGGATATATTTAGAATCACTTTTTTCCTCCTGTATCACAGAAGAGGTATGTGCTGATTTGTTTGGATATTTGACAAAGCACTCTGATGTGACTTTCCTGACTACCTTCCTATTTCATTTCAAATTCAAACTTCTGAGGTTGCAGCATATATGAACTGCATTTTCTTTTTTCTTTTTTATTATTATACTTTAAGTTCTGGGGTGCATTTTTAAAGGGAGATTTGTAAGAATTAAACTATGTTTAATGAGTAAATGTTTGAGATTTCTGCTGTATTGTTACAAATGTAATCAACTTCTCTTTAAAAAAAAAAATAGCTAACATTGGTAGAGTGCCTCCACAGTGCACCAGGCATTGTACTAAAGTTCTTTTGCATTTGCTGAGGAGTGACTTACTTCCAATTATATGGTCAATTTTAGAGTAGGTGTAATGCAGTGCTGAGAAAAATGTATATTCTGTGGATTTGGGGTGGAGATTTCTGTAGATGTCTTTTAGGTCCACTTGCTACAGGTCTGAGTTCAAGTCCTGGATATCCTTGTTAATTTTCTGTCTTGTTGATCTGTCTAATATTGACAGTCGAGTGTTAACGTCTCCCACTATTATTGTGTGGCAGTCTAAGTCTCTTTGTAGGTCGTTAAGAACTTGCTTTATATACCTGGGTGCTCCTGTATTGGGTACATATATATTTAGGATCATTAGCTCTTCTTGATGCATTGATTCTTTTACCATTATGTAATGTCCTTCTTTGTCTCTTTTGATCTTTGTTAGTTTAAAGTCCATTTTATCAGAGGTTAGGATTGCAACTCCTGCTTTTTTTTGCTCTCCATTTGCTTGATAAATCATCCTCCATCCCTTCATTTTTAGCCTATGTGTGGGAGATGGGTTTCCTGAATACAGCACACTGTTGGGTCTTGACTTTTTATCCAATTTGCCAGTCTGTGCCTTTTGATTGGGGTATTTAGCCCATTTACATTAAGGCTAATATTGTTATGTGTGAATTTGATCTCTCAGTTAATCAGATTCATTCTCCATCCATCTTTGATCCCTAGGTGGTGAGGAGTTGTGATCATTTGGAGGAGGAGAGGCATTCTGGTTTTTGGTGTTTTCATTCTTTTTGCGCTGGTTTCATCCCATCTTAGTGGCTTTATCTACCTGTGGTCTTTATAGTTGGTGGCTTTCGGATGGAGTCTCTGAGTGGACACCCTTTTTGTTGATGATGAAGTTATTTCTTTCTGTTTCTTAGTTTTCCTTTTAACTGTCAGGCCCCTCTGCTGCAGGACTGCTGGACGTCCACTCCAGACCCTGCTTTACCTGGGGATCACCTGTGGGGGCTGCAGAACAGTAAGGGTTGCTGCCAGTTTCTTCTTCCATTATCTTCGTCCCATAAGGGTACCCACCAGATGTCGGCCTGAGCTCTCCTTTATGAGGTGTCTGTTTGGGTATACAGGGGTCAGGGAGCTGCTTGAGGAGACAGTCTGTTCCTTACAGGAACTCAGGTGCTATGCTGGGAGCTCCACTGTTCCATGCAGAGCTGCTGGGCAGGTACCTTTAAGTCTACTGCAGCAGAACTCATAACTGGCTCTTTTCCCAGGTGCTCTGACTTTGGAAAGTCAGCTTTATTTATAAGTTCCTGACGTGCTGCTGCCTTTTTTCAGAGATGCCCTGCTGAACACAGAGTAATCTAGTCACAGTCTGCCACTAAAGGTGTTGCTGAGCTGCCGCAGGCTCTGCCCAGCTGCTATGTGAACTGCCCCAGTATTGGCAGACTGCCTCGGTAGTGGCTGGACTGTCCCGGGTCCAGCTGCACTTGCTGTGAAACTCTCAGTCCAGAGTGTTTCAGATTGCTTGTTTTGTGAGGGTCATACCCACCAAGCCAGATCGCCTGGTTCCCTGTCTCAGCACCCTCCCTTTCAGTGGAATGGGCTGCTCTGTCTCCCAGGCATTCCAGGCACCAGTTGAAACGACCACCTAGATTTGCATGAGTTTCTGTGTGCCAACCTGCTGCACCAGCTGTGCTGAAAACTCATGGCACTTTTTGGCCCACGAATCTCCTGGTCAGTGGGCAGTGAAAACTTGTTTGGAAATGCAGTGAGCACTCACCCTCTGCATTGTTCTTGCTGGGAACTGCACTCCAGAGTTGTTCCTGTTTGGCCATCTTGGATCCTCCTAATGCAATTTTTTTTAAAAATTAGTGACTATGAGAATACACTAAAATGTAATTTTTCCAGATTTTTAAGAATCCTCCACAGAATTCAAATTTTGTTATTAAAGAGCATATCATTTTATCCTTTTGGAACTATCACTTTATTTTTTCTTGCCTGCTGCTGCTTCAAAGGCACAGACCTCTTTAAACAGTACTAATAATAGGGAGAAAATATGAAATTTCTACAAATTAATTCTAAACTTTAAAAGCATAGTTATAAAGACAGGAACAACAGACACTTGGACCTATGTGAAGGGTGAGGGTGGGAAGAGGGAAAGGATCGGAAAAAATAATCGTTGGTTACTAGGCCTAGTACCTCGGTGACAAAATAATCTGTACAACAAACCCCTGTGACACAAGTTTACCTATATAGCAAACCTGCACATGTACCCCTGAACCTAAAATAAAAATATTTTTAAATGTCAAAATTTTAAAAAGCATTGTTATAGTCACTGAGCAATATATTTAGATAGTATGTAATTCAAATGTGTAGTATCTGCATGTTCTCACTCGTGGAAGCTGACAAAGTTGATCTCATAGAAGTAGAGAGTAGAATAGTGGTTTCTAAAAGCTAGGAAGGGTAGCAGGAAGGAGGGAACAAGAGATGTTGGTTAACGGATACAAAATTACAGCTAGATAGGAGGAATATGTTCTGGTGTTCTTCAGCACCATAGAGTGACTATGGTTGACAATAATTAGTTGTATATTTTCAAATAGATACAAGGTAGGATTTTGACTGTGCTCCATTGCAAAGAAATGATAAATGCTTGAGGTAATGCATATGATGATTACCCCAATTTGATCATTATACATTGTATACAGGTGTCAGAATATCACATGTACCCTATAAATATATCCAGTTATTTTGTGTCAATTAAAAATACTTTTTAAAAATTACTGTCAAAAAGAGTGTGCTATTGTTTTTACTTTAGAAGTTCTCTAACTAAAAAAAAAAAAAGCTGGGGAAAAAACAACTATAGTGCTAGGGTATATAACAAAATTCAGTGGAGAAACAATCTTGTCTAGTATTTCTTTGGTTGTCCTACTTTAGAAAAACTAATGTTCATCAGTTTTCTCTGTAGCCTAGTAAGTTGAAATATATTGGATTCATTTACATAGACTCTCCTTTTTAGATGTCTGCTCCAATGAGGATCTCCCTGAAGTTGAGCTGGTGAATCTGCTAGAAGAACAACTACCACAGTATAGGCTAAAAGTAGACACTCTCTTTCTATATGAAAATCAAGACTGGACTCAGTCTCCACACCAGCGGCAACATGCATCTGATGCCCTCTCTCCAGTCCTTGCTGAAGAGACTTTCCGTTATATGAGTGAGTATTTTTTTATTCTTTTAGTTTGTGCATTGAAGTGATGATTGTGGGTATCTTGGTATTGGTTTTTAAAGCACTGATGTTTCATAACCATTGTTCAGTGTATACCTACTTTAATTTGAACTGATTTTATAGGAAGAGATAATTCTGTGTTATGTTTGAATGAAGAAAGTTTGTCATCCGGATGACTTTCAGTGTCCAGTGTTGCAAGTATACTTACATGTTTTCATTACTTGATGTTTTCCTCAGACTGAGTAGAAAAGGGAACTTTTTAAAAAAATGAAGTGATTTAAAATTTTAATATTCCTTTATAACTGTCAACATTTATTATCCCAGTAGTTTGGTATCCTAAGCTATCAGCTTTTGACTTTTATCTTTATTAATATCTTTATTAAACACAGTCACAAGAATTATGTCAGCATAACTAAGCCTAGTTCTTAAACACATAAGTAGTTTTAATAATGCCAGGAGAAAGAATATACACTATGTAGTAATCTTCATTATTTAAGGATTCTAAGTGAGAGACTGAGCCAGATTTGTCCTGAAAATAGGTCTGTTTTACACCAAGCTATTAGAAATGACAAAGGAATTTTTAAACTTTGAAGTATGGAGACCTTTTTGCATTTGATTTCATCCCAAAAATCTGCATTAAGGCTGAAATTATTTTTGTAAAACTTTGGTACAAAATGTTGTGTGCATAATAGCTGTTAAAATATATAATAAATGTTTGAGTTCAATATTGATGTTTGTGAAATTCTTTTAATTAGAATTAAGTATGTGATTGGATCAGATCCTAGACATTTTCCCAGTAAGTGCTGCAGTGTTTTAATGCCAGATTGTTGGAGAATGGCTGTTGTGCAGTACTCATTTTCATAGTAATCATTAACTTGCTTTTAGCACTAGTTTCCTACAATTTATTTCTAGTAGTTTCTTAGAACTTAACTACTCAAAAAAAGTATAAACATTACTTCAGCTGAAACTGAAATATCAAGAAGCCCATATACAATTATATTTCTGTCCTTAATGTTTCTTTTAAATAGCTAAATTAAGGCTCCAAAGGTTTACTTGACATTTCAGTTTAAGAATTTGCTTGCTTGAGATTTTTCTGGAAAATCATTTTTAGAAGGAACAGTATTTCTTATTTCTAATTCCCATTGCTCCTTGAATGTTTAAATTTCTGAGAACTTTCAAAGTGAAAGTTCATCTGGGTAAATTTAGTTTGTCATTATTTTGAGAAAGTGCCAAAGAAAGTGCTCCTTAGTTATTTGGTCTTTGTCCTCTCGGCTACTGAGGAGCAAAACTATAGCTAGGAAGTGGTCTTAGATCATGATTTAATGGAGTTAACTTTTAGGATGAATTATAAGTAAAAAGCATAGAAAATAAAAGGTAAATTCTAAAATACTTTTCACAAAACAACAGTGTCCAAGGGAGCGATTTAAAACTTGAGATTAATGATACTGATCCGTACTTCAGGGTTTTGGAAAACTATCCTATTTCTTTAGTGTAATGGTACTATTTTCACTTCAACAGTTGAAAATTGAACTATATATGGTATTCCTAAGATCATGAAACATATAAGTTACGAATATACTGATAATCTACCTCTGCAGTATACTTTAATTTCACTGTTCTTTTAGAGGTGTTAATTCCTTGGGTTAATAGTTAAATCACATATAAACTTCATGAATTTGCATCTTATGAATATAAAAGCTAAATGATTTATTTCGCAAATTGACCAAGGTTTAAAAAGGAAGATAAAAAATATTCCCTCACCCTTTCCCACAGTTTTCTATCCCCCTGAGATTTCAAGATTTGTGGTTTTGAATAATTACTATGTACCCTGGCAGACCATCCTAGAGTTCAGCTCCCTGGGTTACTTTGGGCTTACCTCTACCTGTCTCACATGCCAGTGGATACTTGTGCTTATTAAAATGAATTTTAACACCTAGTAAAAAGAGGCAGCACAGGCAAAGGCACTTTCTCTGTTATGTAACACAAAGAAATTGAAAGAGCTGTGAGAAGATAGTGATTTGGAAGGAAATGTAGCCAGCATTTGAGCTTCGGAGCCTATCTCACAGGAAATGGGGGAGAGTGAGTATTTCTCTGAAGTCACCCAATCCAGAAAGAGATTGTTTACTTTTAAGATAGAACACTGGGAGAGCAATGAGTAGGCAAAAATCAATTAATCAATCCCAGTCCCTGCCACACATATAAAGTTTAAGATGGTCAAAAGTGTTTTACGCGCAGAACAGGCCACCCCACAATTTTCTTGATTTTATTAAAACTGAGTTTCAGCGTGAGCTGTTGGGGAGCCATGCAATCAGAACACGATATAGACTGTATCATTTGTTTATTTAAAGGCTAACGTTAGAAACCTGATGTTTCTTTCAAGGGGTTTTATTTTTAAATAGGGGATTACCTTTACCACTTCCTAAGGCATAAGAGGGGGAAAATGATTGATTATGTAAGTTTTATTTTAGGAAGTGGTTCTCAAAAATGTGAACCCCTGCATTCAATGTTACCTGAGAAATTGTTCGGAATTCACATTCTTGCGCCCCCCTACTCCACCTACAAAATTAGAAACTGGGGGTGAGATAGTCAAAGCTGTCTGTCTCAAGTTTGAGAACCACTGATACAAAGCATTGCCAGCCAAAGTAAATGGCCATCTCACGGTGACATTAATTGGAGAATTAAGGAACTGGGGAGAATATATAATTTATGGTCATGGAAATTATTACTTTTGATTGGTAGATATACTTTTCCTCCAGCTCTGCCCTCAAAAATTATTAACCTGTACTGGCAGAAGAGGACATATGACTAATGAAGTTCAGGGAGCATTAACCATAAGCCCAGTTGTAGAGGTTAGCAGATTTATTTTTCTCCTAGCTAAGCTCTCTCCATCAGTTCCACAAGAAAATTAAACTATATACCCGAAGACACTTAGCTTTTATACAATGGATTTCCTTTTCACCCATGCATCATGTACTAGCTTTGCACAATCCTTAGGAGAATTGAGAAAATTGTCATTCAAATTGTCTGTAGGGCCTGATTCTCCCCTGAAACCCTGTTGAGAAAGACTGCCCTAGATGGTGTGTATCATCAGTTTCTCTCAGTCATTTTGAAGGCAGAAATTATTGCTGTATCATAGCAGCAAGGCTGTGGTCACTTCTTTAGGGTTAAAACCTCAAGACCTGCCTGTAGTTGTCAGGAGCTCTTACAGCTTTTACTATGCCATGTGGACACTGTTCGTGTTTCATTTGTATTTTATTGTTGTTGCTTTTGTTTGGTTTTGGTGTGAGAAAGTTGGAGAGTGCTGAAAGATTAGAAGAATTCTTTTTGAAATTCAGTAATTGTGGTAACAACTTTAGATCTTGAAAAGGGACCTATGTATGAGAGAACTATTAAGCACCATCTCACATAAATGACAGATATTAGAATGGATTATCATTGGTGTTTCCCATCCTGAAAATAATGTGAGATTGAGCTGGTTAATATTGAAATTATGCAGGGATAGAACATAAGGATTAGTGAACATAAGGATTATGTGTGTTAAACTCCCATCCCATATTTTCAGGAACATTAGTTTCTCCAAACATTACGCCAAAAATGTTGAACATTAATTAACAACCTCTGGAAACCAAGTCACAAAATTGTTCTGTCAAAATGTTTGTCATCTCTCTGATGTACAAATTTTTTTTTTAGAGAGGAAAGTTCAGGTCTAGAAATAAGCAAGGATCATTGCTAATTTCTGTATCATTTAACATTTTCAACCAATAAAAACTGAAGTGAAAATAGTTTTTGATAGGATTGATTTTAACAGATAGCCTGCTTGGCTGTCTCTACATTCTTGGTGACAGAATTATGGTGAAGAATTTGTCTGTGGTTTTTGAAGCATTTCATTTCAGTGTCTAAATGCCAAGACATCAAACACTTAAGAGTTTTGCCCTGAATATTTTTGGAATCATTCCAAGCAGCATGTCTTTATCAGGAGATTGTGTTAAGGAGAAAAAGACAGAAACTGATTCCACTGCAGAGAGAAAAATCCATTGTGTTCTTTTCTGTTTTGTGCCCGACCAACATCTTTCTGTGCCCGACCAACATCTTTCTGTGCCCGACCAACATCTTTCTGTGCAATTGAAGAGGCCCAGCCTTTGGAGATTGGTAGTATATAGGCTGCGCATAAAACACAGGAATTTGAAAATTCTGATTGCACTATTTAACTTCTTTGCCATAACAAATACTTACGCATGTTAAAGTTCATTTTTGCTTTTTGAAACTTTAACAAGGGTTCCTGGGTTTTTGTGGGGATTTTTTTTTTCTTTCTGTTTATAAAGATAACATTTGTTCTTTATAGAAAATAACAAAATACTAAACCATAATCCCTACTGAGAGATAATCACTATTAACATTTTAATGTATATCCTTCCAGGCTCTCTTGAATATCGATATTTATAGATATGCACACACTTTTAAAAGCAAAATTGGGATCTATGCTGTTTTATTATATAATATGCATTCACAGGTGTACGTGCTGGTATTTCATTAGATAAGGGCCTTTTTATGTTCTTAGTGGGGCTGAAAGAGCAGCACCGTGGAAAGAACTCATTACGGGACTCTTACATCATCTGAGTTTTTTCTAATGACCTTGTGAGATGAGCGTTATTATCATCTCCTTACCAAAATCCTAGCTTTGCCACTAATAGCTTGCTTTGTGGTCTTGAACATGCCACATAACTTCTTTCAGAGAAGATTCCTCATACAAAAAAATGGATCATTAAACTAGATAACTTCTTAAGGTTCAGCTTTAAATTTTTTGCTGTGACAGATAGTAAGCATTTATAGGAAACATATTTTCATTTCCTCTCACTAAAACATATTTTATTCTAAACATTTCTCAACTCTATTATTGTGTCCTTCATTGTTTTTTTCTCCTTTCATTGTGTGTGACTTGTGGTTCACAGTTGTTTTCCAGATCATTAACTTACTAGTCTTACTCCAAGTTAAATCTGCCACTTCATCTTTAACTCTGGTCAATCATGTCATTTGTTTTTTAAACTACTTGTATAAAAATTGGTTTTAACTAAGCCTATAGGATGCCTGATTTTTGGTTCGGGTATTAACCCCAGATTGGTGATTTTAATTCCTGACTCCACGTCATTTTCAACACCTGGGATAGGGCTTCTTGAAATTGATTACATCAGAATCTGGAGTTTAGAGCCATTGCTCTAGATTACATTTGGGTTTGCAACCATTGTCTGGTTTTCTGTAATTAGTTTAGAGCAGGTGTCCCCAAACTACTGCCCTCTGGGGCCATTTATTCGACCCCCGCCGCACTTCAGGAAGGGGCACCTCTTTCATTGTTAGTCAGTGAGAGGAGCACAGTATGTGGCAGCCCTCCAGTGGTCTGAGGGACAGTGAACTGGCCCCCTGTGTAAAAAGTCTGGGGACGCCTGGTTTAGAGCATGGATATATTGATTTGGTATTTTTACCCTGATTTTGTTGTTGAGACCAGAAGTAGAGGAGACCATTCACTGTAAGTATTTGCCTTAACTATTTAATCCTTTGTTCCTGCTATGCTACCAAATTAAATTGTGTCTATTCGTTAGGCTCAAAAGTCTGTTTCCCTTATCACTGTGGTTAAATTATTGAGTTAGTTTTTCTGTTTGTAAATATAAATTATTTTAGGGTACAAATATTTATTTCTAGGTTTTAAGAAAAGTTTTTATATTTTCAGTTTAAATCTTTTTCAGTTATCTCTTCATACTATCAAGCCAGCACTTCGTTTTAGTTTTAACTAGGAATAAGGCTGTTATTAATAATTAAGCTATAGGTAATTCACAGATTCATTTTAGTCAGCGGTGCTAGGGAGAAAAAAAGTTCAGATAAAAGTAAAACATACCTAGTGACTTCCCTACATACTCAGTCTTTTGGATATCCTAACATGTTAAGATGGAACTAAGGAACTACAAATGACTGCCAACTTAGAGAATTTAAAGTTAGGATCATTTCATACCTACCAGTTCTGTTTGAGGAGTAGTAACTATAAACAGTTCTATGATACTTAGCAGTTTACTGAATACTTTATTGCTCAGCAGATTATCATATTTGATCCTCTTAATAACCTCATAAGATACGTTTTTGCCTCCATATTTATTAACTGAATCTCAGAAGGGTTAAGTGACTTGTTCCAGCTCACTAAAATTCATGAATTCAGCTTTTCTACTCCAAAGCCCCTGTCCTTTTCACACTTCAAGGCAAACTAGTTATAATAAAAGCAGTCTAAGTCAAACACAGATTTATGTGCTACAGTAACATACCATGTTCAAAGTCAAAGGAACCCTTTTTGTTATGCATTATTAACTTGGTCATACTGTTTGGTGTGACTGGAATCACTGGAGTCATATTTGCTCTTTTTTGAGCTCAATTAGCCAGGTACATAGACAGTTCCTGAATTTGTGAAGTACAGAAATACTGGGCTTGAATTATGCAACTAATAATGTAGCATACAATTTATTTTATAGCTGAGACCTAGACGGAGAAATGTACAGATAAAGGGTCTTTAATTAAGCGTAAAGGAATTATGGTTCATAACAGAACCCGAAAAAGTTCTGCAAGTCCTGTTCCTCGTTTACGTTAGCTCACATGGTAGATGATCATAGATGGTTAAGATAATCACAGCAGAATTCCAGTTAAATTCCTTTATAACAGCATAAGCCCTCACTAATACCCTTTAGTAACTTTAAATTAGATTAGACTATAAAGCAATCAGTAACTTAATCCATTCTCCTAGCCAACATTCTCAAAAGTGAGTGGCAAACTTCCTGGGTGGAGGAGGAGGAAGGAGATAGTCAAGATGTGACTGCCTTGTGATCATTTGACGCTTTCTTAATTATTGTATGATATATACTTTGTAATGATTGGTCTGTTTCTTGAGTGTCTAATACATGAAATATTTCTTTTTTTCACATATATTTTTATTCTCCTGAATGACTTTTTGTAAAAGCCCGGGGTTTTTGTTGTTGTTATCTCTCAATTCTTATTAATAGTTAAATTTTTCCATTATTGCTAAAGCCTATAAATAGTTGTTTTTAACTATATTAGTTCTAGGCACAGACAGGGTGGAGCAGATGACCAAAACTTACAATGACATCGACATGGTTACACATCTCCTGGCAGAGGTAGGATTATCTTTTCTTTCTCCAGTACAAAAAGGTAAAACTTGAGGATCATTTAAAATCTATCAAATTTGTACATCAGATGGAAAATGATGATGTATGTGCTCTGGGTTATTTTGTATAAGGTTGTTACTGCTGAAACAACTGACATTTCAAAGTAGAGTGGTTTCTGAAGCTTGTTGTGAAGCTATAGAGGATTTATATTTAATTTTTATTTAATGGTGTTGGCTGGCCTCCCCTTCCTAGAAAAGCGTTCATCTTTAAAAAAAAAAAAAAAAAAAAAAAAAACTTTTAAAACAACCCCTGCTGTTACATACCCTACAGCAGAGCTGCCCATTCAAAAAGCAATGTTATTGCAAATCAGTACCTGCAGTTTGGAGCATCTCCCCTTTTTACTTTTAGTTTGGGCTCTTATTTGAGCTTACTTTGTCTCTGGCATTTTTAATATGTATAGCGTATCTCCTCTAGTTGGCCATCGATAGACGTCTCCCTTTGTACCATTTCAGTTGATCTTACGGAAGACAGTCTTTTTCTAATATATCCTTCTCCCCTCTCCCCCTAGCTCTCCAGAATGACTTCTATGTTTGCCACTTAGCGTATATTTAAAAGGAGGCTTAAAAATGTGGAGATAATCCCTCCATTTTCATATGCCTGTGGAGAGAAAGGATAGAAGCTTTAATTTTATTTATATAATGATTACTGTAAGCAGATCATATACAAGGCAGTAAGATGTATATTGACAGTTTTCTATCCTACAGAATACAGTCTTCACCACTACCACACAGATGGAATTCCTGTGCCCTTACTAAGTATCACTGTCTGCCCAAAAATAACAACTCTGGGTGGAAACCTATTGCTTGACTTTTCTACAGACTTTCCGGCATCATTGCCACTAGCTTATTTAGACTTCTTTCTTTTCTGTACTTTAGGCAGAATCCTGTGGCCTCAAAATTTCCAGTCTTTTATCTCCCATTTTATTTCATATCATCATTCTTGAACCAATTGACTACAGAACTCTTGGCTGCACTTTCCTCTAAGCTGCTGAATGCACATAAGCTTTGCCCTAAATGGAACTCTTTTTTATGTGCCTACCTGATCCATATCTTAAATACTTAATTCTGTATTATTACCATGCTTGATATGCAAATACATTCAACAAATATTTGTTGGGCTTTTACTATACAGGCCCCATCCTCATTTTTAAAGACTGTATTGATTTTCCAATTTCCAAAAATTTTAAGTTTAAAGTTTGGGTTGCTAGACTCTTAATTTACTAGGATGATAATAAATCTCACTTGATATCAAGAAAAGAGATGTCCTCTTGCATTTAGAACAATGGTGGTCATCCACTTGACCAACATTTTAAAGCACTACCTGTGTGCCAGACCCTGTGCTTATTTGTGGTATCGGGGCATTAAAATGAATCTTGATGCTTTCTAGGACATTGCTTTTGATTTTACCAAAACTGACTGCAAAATATCTGAACTGCCATTTAATCTTATTTATACTCAAAGAAAAGGTGTATTTGATATTTTAACAGAGGGATCGTGATCTGGAACTTGCTGCTCGAATTGGACAAGCTCTGTTAAAGAGGAACCATGTCTTATCTGAGCAGAATGAATCCCTGGAGGAACAATTGGGACAAGCCTTTGATCAAGTAAGCCTTTGATCAGATATCTCTAGCACAAAATAATTGGGTTTTATGCAGTGGATAAATTTATTTTCCTAGGTGTCCTTGAAATGATGGCAATAGATAAATAACACCAGTACTTGTTGTCTTCATTGGTGATCATTAAACTAATCAGCAGAGAAATTAAATGTTAATATTACAGAGGAGAACTCACATGACTACCTTGGTCAACTTAAAGCCTGTATTACATATCTGTGATACCTGTGGCACCTTGCTTAGATATGAAAACTATCCATACTCTTTTGTGTAGACTTTGTATGTTATCTTATCTGAAATGTATTTTTAAAAAATAGATAGTATGTTGGTATCTTTATTCAAAAACCAAACAAAGGAAGAAAAGAAAACGAAACTTTGAAAATATGTTTATTCCATAGCAATAAACATTTGTAGTGAGAACTGATTTATTATTAACTTGAATGGTTGCATTTCAGATTTTCTGTAATTTGTTATTTTTATCTGGTTTCATTTGTATTTTATGAATGCATTATGGATGACAATATTTGAGCCTTTAGGTTGAAACTATTTGTTCCTAGAACTAAAATCAGTATTCCTAGGAAGACATGCATAGTGATATAGATCTGAAAATTACAAGCCCTTATGATAAGAATTTGAAGTAGGGATCTATTCTGATACTTTGAAGGTTCTTCAGTTTTGTTGTGTTTTTAACTAAGAGTGTATCATTATCTTAGGTGAAATTTTCTCCTATATATTCTTATCATATATACAATATGAAAATTGGCTTTTCTTTTCACCTAGGATAGAAAAAAGCTGTACTATTGAATTAATGCTCTAAAATTGTAACTTAGGAGGTATCTGAGATTTGTTATTCTCTTTTTAGTACTTCTTATATTAGTCAGTAAAACCTAGCAGCTGATTTTATGATGAAAAATAATTGCCCCATGAATTAGAAACTATAGTGCATGTAAATAATGCAAAATGAAGAACATGAAAATCAAGCATTTTATATGGACAGGTTAATCAGCTGCAGCATGAGCTATCCAAGAAAGATGAGTTACTTCGAATTGTCTCCATTGCTTCTGAAGAAAGTGAAACTGATTCCAGCTGTTCTACACCTCTTCGGTTCAATGAGTCCTTTAACTTATCTCAAGGGTTGCTGCAGTTGGAAATGCTGCAAGAAAAGCTCAAGGAACTGGAAGAAGAGAATATGGCTCTTCGATCCAAGGTACATTCAACCTAATTCCCATTTTCCTTTACTTTAAAGACTATAAAGTTCAGGTCCAGGTAGTATTGAGGTGAAATATGGCATAAGGATTTGCTATTGACATTCCAGTTAGAGAGTCGTGAACAAGGAGCTGTTTGTTCTTAGATCCCACTGAAAAGTGTATAGTAGCAGGTTGACAGTACAATAGAGAAAGTCAAAGGATAGAAAATTTATCTTGTGGCATTTACACAAGTAACTAAGTAGTTACAACTGTGCTAAGAATTATGTCAGAAAATTACAAGGTTCTGTGAACATGTATGGTGTGGGCATCAACGAAGTCCTACTTAAGCAAGGACCATTTTAGCCAAGGCCAGGGATTAGCCAGGTAGAGACATATGAACAGGTTGTTGGCCTTTTTCCTTTGTAATGATGAACTTTAGTCTTCAAATGAGAATTAAAGGTTTTTGTAGTTATTTCTATAAAATCACTGAAGGTATTGTCGCATACTGATTTTTATCTTGAAGGCTTGTCACATAAAGTCAGAAACTGTTACCTATGAAGAAAAGGAACAACAGCTTGTCAGTGACTGTGTTAGAGAACTTCGTGAGTATTCACATATTCTCTTTTGTACTTTTTGGACAGTTCTTTGGTAGGATATCTCTACCTTTGAAGTTAGATCACTGGTTTTAGTAGAAGCATCTCAAGAAACAATTTTAAATGGTTACTGAAAATGTTAAAATACCACATTGAGCCTACAGCCCTAAATAAGATACCATATGTATTTTTAAGAAATACATTTGTTTCAAATTGCAATTATCAAAAGCTGTCATATTGTTGATGAGGAAATAGTCCTATAGAGGAAGATGACTTGCCAAAGTCAGAAAACTGATAAGTGGCAGAGCTAGGGCTTAAATGATGGCATAAAACCTACAATCAATGAGTATTAAGTGCCACTTATGTTTCTTTAAAGGACTATGTTTTAGGTTGAGATAATGTTAACTAGTTTTTTTTTTTTAAAAAAACAAATCAGTTGGAAAAATATTGGCTTCACTGAAGAAAATTATTTAATTTCTCCATAAATACGACAGTTGTCCCTTACCTGCTGTTTCACTTCACTTTTCATGGTTTCTGTTTACTGTGGCCAACTGCAGTCTGAAAATAGTAAGACATTCCAGAAATAAATAATTCATGAACTTTAAATCATGAGCCATTCTGAGTAGTGTGATGAAATGTTGTGCCATCCTACTCCATCCTTCCTGGGATGTGAATCATCCATTTGTCCATCTGCACTCAGTATACGCTACCTGCCTGTCAGTCACTTAGTAACCATCAGTACCGGGTCAACTGTCACAGTATTGCAGTGTGTTCAGGTAACCCTTGTGCCCCAAAGCATAAAAGTATTGGTGCTGGCATATTGTTATAATTGTTTTATTAGTAGTCATTATTAATCTCTTACTGTGCCTAACTTATAAATTAAGCTTTATCATAGGTATATGTTTGTAGGAAAACACATAATACATATAGTATAGAGTTCAGTACTGTCTGTAATAGTGCACATATCCACTGCAGGTCCTGGAATGTATCCCCCACAGATAAGAGGGGACTACTATATATAGCCTCTTAAATTGACAGCAATAATATAATACTATCACATCAGTTGGTCTGTGGGCTTCAAAATGTGATACCTTAGAATAGCAGAATATTAAACAACTGGAAGGAGTGTAAATTAAATTTTCTCCTCCACCATGAATCCATTACCCACCTTTTGCACTTTAAAATACAGGAAATGACTTGTTCAAGAGCTCAGATCCAGATCTCCCGCCTCTGTATCACCATTCTTTGAAATGTTAGAGGCTTTCTATCAATTTTAAAATAGTTTTATATGATGCTGAGAAGTAGTTTTTCTGCTTGTGTTTACATATCACATTTTTCATGTGAAATAAAGAATGAATAAATTCCCAGTGGAATTCTAGAGGCTCTATTTCATGTGCAGGTAAGACGACCAGGCTATAAGAATTGCTCTAGAGGTTTTACCCAGTTACCAGGTATCCCAGAAAGTCTCTCTCCTACAGAAGGATTTCCATGGCTTTATCCCATTCTGTTATAGATTGTGACTGTTCCATTCTGGAAATGTTCCTTTGTTAGATTTGTAAAGATTAATTTTCGTTGCTCTTGGGATTTTATGTCTCTAAAGAGTTCTCAAAGAAATAAATGAGATTACCTGTTTGCACTTGCTCACCTTTCAGCCTGCTTTCCTTCATAAAGAAAAAGATTTAGCAAATATCATTTTCATAAAGAAAAAAAATTAAAGCAAAACCTTTAGCCTGCTTGCCTTTACAAGTCATCTCTCTTTTTAGCTTCATTGTCTCTTATTCAATTCCCAGCATTAGCCTATTTCAGAAGAACCTTTATTCTCTACTGGTTTCTCTGGGTTTATTTTTTTATGTTAAAGAAAAATCTATTCATGACAGTCTACTGCTTGTTGTAAAGCAAGATTCAGCTCACAAGTCATAGTTTCATAGTTTGTCAACTCCTGCTCTCTGTTTATATTAACTTTTTTTTTTTTTTGCTTCCAAGGTGAAACAAATGCTCAGATGTCCAGAATGACTGAAGAATTGTCAGGGAAGAGTGATGAGTTGATTCGATACCAAGAAGAGATTTCTTCTCTTTTGTCACAGATTGTAGATCTTCAGCATAAACTTAAAGAAGTAGGCTTATTTATTCATTCAACAGATATTTGTTAAGCACTGACATAGTGTCTTGCACCATACTAAGTGCTAGATACAATAAGCAAAATAAACATGGTCCCTGCCTTTTTAAAATGTCATAATCTGATTGCTGTTTTAATCTTCTTTACATCATATGTCATGAATAAGTACTTTCAAGTCACTATTTCTCTTCGTAAAATGGGGTTAGGGCTTCCTCAGAAAATGGTGTAAATTATTGACTCATGTTCATTGTCCTCTGAACACCCTGATAGATTCTGCCCATTTTATTGCTCTTATTTAGCTTTTGAAAGGTTAGCTTTTTGTAGGCTTTAAGATGATACCCAGAGAGAAATTCTTCAGATGTCTTTACAAGAAAGAGAATAGCTATATTTTATTTGGAAAGGCTTCACATGTCTCTCTTAATATGTTGTTAGCATGTGATTGAGAAGGAAGAACTAAGACTTCACCTGCAAGCTTCCAAAGATGCCCAAAGACAACTGACGATGGAGGTAATGAAATATTTATCTTGTGTAATTCAGGAGGGGAAAGAATAACTCGTTTCTTTCATCTTCATGAATAAGAATTATTAAAGGGGAACTACCAGATTTAAAAAGCAACAACAGAAGTTAAGATGAAATTATGAGATCTAAGAAGTAAAGCATTTTGGCTGGGTGCCGTGGCTCATGCCTGTAATCCCAACACTTTGGGTGGCCAGGGTGGGTGGGTCATCTGAGGTCAGGAGTTCGAGACCAGCCTGGCCAACATGGTGAAACCCCATCTTTTGTGTTTTTTTAAAAACACAAAAATTAGCCAGGATTAGTGACAAGCGCTGTAATTTTAGCTACCCAGGAGGCTGAAGCAGAAGAATCACTAGAACCTGGGAGGTAGAGATTGCAGTGAGCCGAGATGCGCCACTGCGTTCCAGCCTGGCCAAAAAAGCAAGACTTCATCTCAAAAACAAAGAATAAAGCATTTTAAAAGTCCTTTCTCTAAAACTGGTAACATGGCAACATCCTTCTTGATTAATAGAGAAAACCTCAACTTTATAAGATTCATTAAGAGTATATGACTCTTTTACCAGTCCACCTTAACTAGCTCAACAGTTTTTGAATAAGATAGTTTCTAGTAGTAAATGTTTTTGCAGGTGTGTCAGGAGAAGTAGGAAAAATCTCTTACTTTCTATCTACATAAAATTTTATATGTTAGATATAACTTGGTGATTCTTTAGCATGCGTTAGTATCCCCTGGGGCCAGGCATACTAGCTCATGCCTGTAATCCCAGCCCTTTGGGAGGCCAAGGTGGGAGGATGGCTTGAGCCCAGGAATTTGAGACCAGCCTGTAAAACATAAGGAGACATCATCTCTCCAAAAAGTTAAAAAATTAGCTAGGTTTACTGGCACACACCTGTGGTCCCCACTACTTAAGAGGCTGAGGTAGAAGGATCACTTAAGCCCAGCAGATCAAGGCTGCAGTGAGCCATGATCACACCACTACACTCAACCCTGGGCAATAGAGTGATACCTTGTAGGAGAGAGGGGGAAAGAATCACTTGGGAGAGCGAGTGTTAAATGGAGGTTTCCAGGCATGGTCCCAAGAGCTTCTACTTCAAGTCTGGAGTGAGAGCCTAGAATCTGCATTTTTAATAAGCATCTTCAACCCTGGTGGTTCTGACAAGCTGGGACATATACTACAGTTGAAAAAATTTTATAGTTGAAATATATTCTGAAAATTATGTACTCTTTTACCAGATTTGTATATCTAGTTGTAAAGAAGGTTCTGAAACAAGGTGGGGAAACTTACTTGTTTAGGAGAATTGAGCACCCTGACATCCTATATAATACTTTGTAGACTCTTGATGTTGTCACTTACAGACTTCAGAGTGATGTTTTTTTAGAAAAGATTAATATTATACTAAACCTAATTTGGCTATAGCTGATGTACTTCCTCTGAGGAGCTAGGGTATGAAGATTCAATATTAAATCAACCGTTCTGGAAGTCTCAGCTACATTTCAGACTTTTAAGAAGTCACATTTATGTATGATTTTAGTCAAGGCACTCCTCCTTAATTCTGGTAGCTCAAAATATACTCTTTTTACTTGGTTTGCTGTAGAGTCCTTGTATCGAAATGATATTTTCATAAAATTAGCTAGCCCTCTGCCTAAAATTAATACTTACCGCAAAAGATTTCGGGAGTTTTTTCCCTAGTGTTGTTTTGAGAAGGCAATAAAATATACTAGCATTCTTCCTTTTTTTAGCTGCGTGAGTTACAGGACAGAAATATGGAGTGTCTAGGAATGTTACATGAATCCCAAGAAGAAATAAAGGAACTTCGTAGTAGATCTGGCCCTGCTGCTCATCTCTACTTCTCCCAGTCATATGGAGCTTTTACGGGGGTAAGCAACTAAGAAAGATGCTATATATTTAAAGAAATTTGTTTAAGATTAGTTGTCCTAAAAGTGGTATGATTTGTGATGGTCCAAAGCATCTTGAGAAGAGATAATGTGGTTTGTCCTTGTTTCTGGACTCCAATTATTGATTTAGGCCCGAATTTGTATATTGACATCTTCCTTATACTCTCATTTATTCTAACGGGTGACCTTCCAGATATATTAGATCAATAATATGTAAGATGAGCCCTAAGGAAATTAACTTGAGGACTGTGTATATTAGAACTAGTTAAACTTGGGTCATCCTATCCTAGACCTACCACCTACCATTTACTTAAATGGCGCTTTGAATATCTAAAACCTCTTTCAGTAAATCTTCAGTCTCCTGATATTTTTAACTTGTTAGAATGTAAGCTTCACGAGAACAGGATTCATCTTTGTTTAATTCATAAACCCTATTTTTTGGATTAAAAAATTAATAAAAACTTCTGAGTTTATGTTAGAATTTGTAATGTTGGTTCAAAGAGTTATTTTAACAATCTGATTTTTAAACACTTCTGTGCAACCCTATGAACTTTTTTAAAAGACTAAAACTATAAATTGTAGTTGATTTTCTTAAAATTAGGGAGGCATCATTTTGTTTTTTAAGTTCGGAATAATTTTAATCTTAGAATAAAGTTCCAAGAATACTATAAAGAACTCTTGTATAGCCTTCACATCAGTTGTTCGGTTTTTTTTAACATATTACTGCCTTTGCCATATCATTCTAGCTCTCTTTTTTTCCCCTGGGATATTTTAACAGTAAGTTGCTGGTATACCTTATTACCCCATAGTACTTAAGCGTGTATTTACTAAAAACAAGGACATTTGGACACTCTTAAGGACACTGTCTTACATAAACACGCTACAACCATCAGCATCAGGAAGTTGATGTTGATACAGTATTATCATCTAATCCACAGAGTACATTCAGATTCTGCCAGTTGTCTCACTAATGTCCTTTAAAGGATACAGTGCATTTTGTTGTTTCCATCTGGAACAGTTCTTCTGTCTTTATTTCTCTTTCATGACTTTTGTAGGATGTCCTCAGTTTAGGCTTGTCTGATGCATCCTCATGATTAGATTCCGATAATGCATTCTTGGCAGAAATGATGCCATATTCTCAGAGCATCCTATCAAGAGATGCGTAATGTATGTTTAGCCCATTACAGGCGGTATTGATTAACTCTCATCTCTTGGTTAAGGTAACCTCCTGGTTTTTTCCACTGTAAAGTCAATAATAATTAATAGTTAATTAAATTAACACTGCTAATTCACTGTGTAGTGATGGAAACTGGGAGATACTACCTCAACCAAGTGATCAAAGTAAACATTTAATGAGAGATACTTTGAGACTAAGTATCCTGTTCCTCAACAAATTATTACCCACTAGTTTTAGCATCTGTTGATAGTTCTTATCTGACAGTCATTATGGTAATGATTGCCAAATGGTGATTTTCAGATTCCATCATTTTTTCAACATTTATTAATTGACATTTTTCTTTTATAAATTAGTGCATTTCTGTTCCATTTGTTTGTTCATTTGTTCATTTAGGTATGTCATGGACTCATGGATTTCTATTTTATTCAATAGATTACAAGCCATAATTATTAATATCTATTTTGATATTCAGATTGTCCTACATATGGCCAGTAGGATCCCCTTTAAGCTCATCTTGCGCTTTTTGTACTTTTTGTCCCTGGAATCAGCCATTTCTCCAAAGAGCTCTGGTTACTTTTATTGAAGAATGGTATTTTGAATCCAAGACCTGGGTGCAAATTGTGCCCATTGATTGCCACTAGAGTATCGTGGCTTCTAGACCCTCTCAGCAGATAAAACTAGGAAATATATGTTTTTCATACCTATACCTACACTATATATATATATATATATATATATATATATATATATATATATGTGTGTGTGTATATGTATATACATGCGTATATGTATATATACATTTTCATATATATGTATATACATTTTCATATATATGTGTATATATATACGTGTGTGTGTGTGTATATATATAGTGTAGATATAGGTATGAAAATGTATATATACACATGTACACATGTATATGTGTGTATATATACATGTGTGTTTGTGTGTGTGTATATATCTACACTATATATATATATATATATACACTTTCATACCTATATCTACACTATATATATACACACACACACAATCATACATAATATATGTTATATATATAATATTATATATAATATATATTATATACATATATATGTATATAATGTATATAATATATACATATATAATATGTATATATTATATATAATTGTATATAATTATATATTATATGTAAATAATATATACACATATATTACATATGAATATATACATATGTATATTTATGTATATTTATAAATATTTATATATACATATATATTCATATGTAATAATACATATATATTAAAAATTATGAGTTCACACCATTGCCTCCAATTCCAGTAATCCTCAGCCCAGCGCCACTGAGCATGTCACCCATATTAGTTGAGTCCTCATCCCTGACCAGGAGAAGAGGAAGCTTGCTTATTTTTTTTAATGATTTTTAATATTATAAAAGCTATGCATATTTATTATAGAAAAGCTGGAAATTACAAAAAAGCAAAAATAATTTGTTAAATACCATTAAATCCTACCCTCCACAGAATCGCTATCAATACTGGGTTTAGTCCTCGTCCCTGATCAGGGGAAGAGGAAGCTTGCTTGCTTTTTAAAATGACTTTTTAATATTATAAAAGCTATACATGTTCATTATAGAAAAGCTAGAAATTACAAAAAGCAAAAAGAAGTTGTTAAATACCATTAAATTTCACCCTCCACAGACTCACTGTTGACACTGGGTTTATGGCCTTTTAGACCTTTTGTTTTTTGTGTATCTGCATGTATATTTTCTATTTATCATATTAGCTTTTTTCAGTCATTTCTTATTTGAAAAAATCATGAAAATGTAATTGGTTCTAATTTAAAAGTTCTACTTCCAGAATGTCTTTTTTCCCCTGAATGTTAGCTTTGACTATTTCCTTATATTTTATTGTAACACCAAAAGTATAGAGTTGTAGAGACTCTGTTAATTAATTTTAGGGCAACAATCGCTTTAGAAATCTCAAACTCTTTTTCTTAGGAATCTTTGGCAGCTGAGATTGAGGGGACTATGCGTAAAAAGCTGAGTTTGGATGAGGAATCGTCTCTCTTTAAACAAAAGTAAGTAGAGATCACATGTGTTGTTACTCAATCACTGGAAGAGAAATTGAAGCCAGAATCCAAAGTATTAAGTATTATGAGATTCAGTAGTAATTTGATTACTATTCAGTCTTTTCCTCACAGTGTCCTCATTTGTGAGAGAGTTCTCTTGTTTGAAAGCTTATTTTCTGATGATCTCTCCTAAACTGTAGAAGCTCCTCAGGGTGGCTTTATTTCTGATGGACTGCATATACTTGTCTCTTCTCTAGATGCTCTAGTGGCTGGCAGTGATAATAATGAACACTTCCTTTTTGACAGAGCCCAACAGAAACGGGTATTTGATACCGTCAGGATTGCCAATGACACACGGGGCCGCTCTGTCTCCTTCCCAGCTCTGTTACCCATTCCAGGCTCCAACCGTTCAAGTGTCATCATGACAGCAAAACCTTTTGAGTCTGGTTTACAGCAAACAGGGGACAAGTCACTCCTGAACCAGGGAAGCAGCTCAGAGGAGGTTGCAGGGTAAGACACAGACGATGACAGTGATTCTACATTTCTTTTCCTATTGACTCACCAGATTGACATGCACAAATTCCATTATTACTCCGTGCTGTCCCAAGAAGGTTCTGGAACTGTCAGTTTTTATTCACTTATGATGCCCTGTATCATTATTCGTGACATAGATCATACCAAAGTCAAATTTGTTTGAATCTGTTTGGTCACTAGCATGAATACATCAGACGACACCTTCTCATAATCCATGCTCATAATCTCAACCATTTTGCTGATTTTTAGGATAAATGTAAGTTTGAATACATCTTGAGGACCAACAAGGTGCTGTCAATTTTCTGTTTATTTAAACTTGGATTAGTTTTCATTCTTTTTATTAATTTAATACATTGAATTCTATATAACTAGAAGGTAAACAACTTGACTGAAAAGTGAGCTGAAAGCCTTTGAAAGATAGATATTTGGCACCAGAAGGAAATGTTTCCTTATGTAGAAATGCATCTCACTAGACTTCAATTGCATTTCCTGGTCTGTCCTGGGCAGTGTTCTGCATCCGCAGTAGCTTTGTGTCCTGCTGCCTCACTGTTACACAATTATCTTAGAAGAAGATCTGAAACACATCTATGTGGATTTATACACAAGTAGCCCAGAGTACCACAACTCGGCTTGCTACCCTTCCATTTGATATCAATTATAAGATAGCTTCCAATTTCAAAAGTGTTGAAAAAATGGGCATCAGAGAACTATAAAATGCAGTATTATATACAAATTTTGTTTTTTTCTTTTCAGTGTTCTTCAGTATTGATGGGTGATTCTGTGGCCCAAAGCAAATTTTTTTCATATTTTAATATTTTTTAAATTGCTATGTTTTGTAACTAATAGTATGCCTTAGTTTAATGGGTAGCACTTTTTTCCTTCTTCATTATACATAAAAGAATGGGACCTCTTGCAATCCATGATACAGATTCAGCGAAATATAATATTTATTTTTGTGACAACCTAATACAAATTTATAGATGGTTGAATGTGTAGTTTCATAAATTAAATGAAATAGAAAATTCAGAGAACACAGAATATCACTGAAGTATTATCTTACCTCTCAAGTCATCTGAAATGATCTGTAAAAATGATATTATTAGTGATTTTGGTTTGTTGTTATTATTTCTATATCCCAGGTATCTAGGAAAATGCCATGTTTTTAAGATCATTCTCTTGAATGCTTACCATCATAGAAAGGAGAGATCTGAGTCGTTCTGATGATACTCAAGATCTAATTAGTGAATGTGATTTTCCTGTAGGAACTCCCAGAATATGGACCAACCAGGACCCTCTGGAGATAGTGATTTGGCTACAGCACTGCATCGCCTTAGCTTGCGTCGACAGAACTATTTAAGTGAGAAGCAGTTCTTTGCTGAAGAATGGCAGCGGAAGATCCAGGTTCTGGCTGACCAGAAGGAAGGAGTTAGTGGTTCTGTGACCCCAACAGAAAGCTTTGCCTCTCTCTGCACCAACCAGTCAGAAATCACAGACCTCAGCAGTGCCAGTTGCCTTCGGGGTTTTCTGCCAGAAAAATTACAAATTGTCAAGCCCCTTGAAGGTAATAAATCAGTAAGGGCCCTTTCTAAGCCACATGGCTTATTGGAAGTTCCTTTCCCTGGAATTGAGATTTGTGTTTTACTTATAGGAACATTATGTGCAGATGATCTTTTTTATACCTTAGTCTTGCTGTTTGGGTGACAAGGCGTTGTTGTAGTTTCTGGAAAATTATGAATGAAGACAGTTGCGTTCTCTGAATTAGCAGCCATCGGTTCTCTTTTGCTGATGTTTTTTAATATAAACATGAGTGGGAAGGAGGAGTAATCTTTTTCTGTCCTTTGCTAAGAAATATCATCGATAGCAGTTTCCATGGTTAGATAAATAAGATAAGATAAATGATAATGATCTAGAGGTAATAATTCAGCTCCACCGTCCTTTTCAAAAGAGTTTTTTACCCAAAAGTATAATTGACGTAGAGGGGTGTGTGTGTGTGTGTGTGTGTGTGTGTATTTCCTTTTTTCAATTCAGTTTCTGTTCTCTCCTAAGAAAGGACTTGAATTCAAAATAAATTCCTCCGTTTTATGGAATAATGACAATCATTGAATGATTCTCTGATACTATCCTAAAAGAGTTCTGCATTAAATTTTGAGTACGTAACCTATAAAGACCCCTCAAAGTCAAAGATTTTATTACTTAGTTTTATTTGTTAATGATCAGTGCAGGCATTTGTAGGAGTTGTCTTTTTTAGGATGAAAGGACTACAGTGACATAATTGGACATTGCATCTGGTGCAATTACTTGGGATGATCATTTACCAGGGTTCTATAGCCTTGAACCAGAGGATGTATCCTCTTTTTCGTTATCTTCATTTTCCTATTCTCCCTGGGAGCCTGGCTTTTGACTTTCAATTTCATAGGCATAGTTCCAGGCCAGCCAAGTGTTGACTTTTTTGTTACCTGGGAAAATACAGCCCACCTCATAGGCACGTATCTTCCATCACTGCCTCAGTAGCTAAGCTCCTTTCCTATCAAGGATGTCTTTTTGGTTGTTCGGTTTTTTTGTTTTTGTTTTTGTTTTTTACCCCTTTAGATGTCCTTCTCAAAGTTATCTATTAAAATAGATTATTACTCTTACCTTTGACATATTGTCATCTTCCACTGAAAACTTTAATTTGCAGCTTTTTCAAATTATTAACACCAAATAAATAGTTTTATTGCTGTCATTATTGTCTTTACACTAGAGTTGTAGCTTCTGTAAGATTTTGTGAGAACTGTAAAACATGCCTTTTCTCCCTCCTTTGTCTTGCATATTCAGGATCACAAACTCTGTATCACTGGCAGCAGCTTGCTCAACCAAATTTGGGAACCATCCTTGATCCACGACCAGGTGTCATTACAAAAGGCTTTACCCAGTTGCCCAAAGATGCCATTTATCACATCTCAGATTTAGAAGAGGATGAAGAGGAGGGCATTACTTTTCAGGTTCAGCAACCTCTTCAAGTGGAAGAGAAACTTTCAACATCCAAGCCAGTAACAGGGATCTTCCTACCACCCATTACTTCAGCTGGTGGACCAGTTACAGGTGAGAAGAGTGTCTGGTTGAATATGGTATAGTAAGCAGAAATACCTTACATTCTGACTTACTAGATGGTCAGCTGGCTACCTCTGCTCACTGGAGGGTACTCAATCTTGGATGTCAGATAATGAAAATCTATAGCATTTGTGGCATTCCTGATTCTCTCCACTTTATCTTAGTCAGCCTGCATTAGTAGATTGGGTAGAGAGCTAGATGAATTCAAGTAAGTGGTTCACAAACCTTTTGAGCTCAGGACCTCTTTACACTCTTAAAAAATCATTGAGGGCTGGGCACAGTAACTCATGCCTGTAATCTCAGCACTTTGGGAGGCTAAGGTGGGCGGATCACAAGGTCAGGAGTTCGAGACCAGCTTGGCCAACATGATGAAACCCTGTCTACACTAAAAATACAAAAATTAGCCAGGCGTGGTGGCGGGCACCTGTAGTCCCAGCTACTCAGAGGCTGAGGCAGGAGAATCACTTAAACCCAGAGGGCGGAGGTTGCAGTGAGCTGAGACTGTGCCATTGCACTCCATCCTGAGCGACAGAGCGACACTCCATCTCAAAAAAAAAAAAAAAATCATTGGGAATTCCAGAGAGGCTATCTGTGTAGGTTATATCTATTGACGTTTAACATATCATAAATCAAAACTGAGAAATTAATATGTATTAACTCACTTAATTGTGTTACACAAATATGTTTTATGAAAAATAGCTATTTTTTTGCATAGTGAGAAAAAACAGTTTTGGCATATGTGCAGGTCTCTGTTTTTTGACTTAATACAAAATAGCTTCATTGTCATTAGCAGCTTCTACATTCAGTCTACTGCAATATGTTGTTTTGGTTGAACAATGTGAAGGAAATGCAGCCAGGGACAAACATACAGTTGGAAAAGGAAAGAGTGTTTTAATAGTCTTTTCAGATATTTGTAGATATTCTTTGATATTACACTAAAACTTGGTAAGTAGTAATTTCTTGAACATTTGTAGCAGTGTGAGATCTGAAACCGTAACAATGAACTTTTCATTAATTTGTTAACATTAAAATACATTGATCGGGCCAGGTACGGTAGCTCACACCTGTAACCCCATCACTTTGGGAGACTGAAGCAGGCGGATCACCTGAGGTCAGGAGTTGAAAGCCAGCCTGGGCAACATGGTGAAACCCTGTCTCTACTAAAAAATATATATATAAATATAAAATAAAATAAAATGCATTGGTTATATACTACATTTTGAAAGTATCTTTCATTCATGCTTGATTTTTAACATCATGCATTGGTCATTTAGAAGATATTGATTGGTTCATGGAGTTATGCAGATTTTCCAAATATTGATGAATTTTTTATATACAAATATTAAAATCATATTAATACCACCACCTATCTCATCACAAAAGTCTTTAAAGATGTACATGCTTTCAGTGGTGGATACAAGTTTTCCAAAACTTAACTTTTTCTTGAAAGCTCACATTTTGTTAGCTGTTTTTCTTGAAGGGACAGGCTCACTTCATTTATTTTTAACATGTCTGTCTTATACCCAAATATGAATAACTATAGTTTATCTGTTAGTTCTTTCAAGTAAAAGTGGTATTCCATGACAAAATTTCAAATCAGTTACACAAGTGTTTTCTTCTAGATAACCACTGTATCTCAGAATGCAGCAAGAGTGCTTAATGCAACCTTCCCACTTCACGCAGAAAAGAAAAAAGATTCAAGGGCCAAGATTCAAGATTTAATAGATAATTTTTACTGCTACTTCAAGGACATTCTTGATATGGCTTTTTAAAGAATACCAAGTGTGTAACAGTGAAGAAGACTGGTATAACTTGGTGATGTTGCCTTGATATGTGCTGAGGAGTCAGCAGTTTTGCCTTCCATTCCTTTTGTACCAGCCATGCAAATGTCAACCCTGTCAAAAAAAAAAAAAGTCCTCTGAGTTAACATTACTGTGAAAGTAGCTTTGACCTGTGGACTCCCACAGAGTCTGCAGACCACACTTTGAGAACTACCAGAGTGGATAAATTTGGCTGAATCATTTGGATAACTAGATCTTGATTTTTTTAATGTATTTTTTCAGTTTTCTTTTCTTATTTCTAAGCTTTGTTTATGCCTTTTGCTTTACAGTTTTAAAGTATTGGATTCACCTTTATAACAATTAATACTAGCACAATCTTCATGTATATTTATTTCATTTCCAGATTTGGGGATTTTTAGTACAAAAGGTACTTGATAAATGCTGTATTATTAATAAATAATGATGAGCTTTTTACATTATTAATCTAGTCTTTCAATCTTGTATTTGCTCCCTAAAAATCTACTTCAGTTGCAACTGCCAACCCAGGAAAGTGCCTGTCATGCACAAACTCAACATTCACTTTCACCACCTGTAGAATATTACATCCCTCTGACATCACTCAGGTTACCCCCAGGTAAGAGTCCCAGGGAAATCTGGGGCCTCACTTCTTTCCTCAGGTATATTTTTATGACTTTCTTTTAAAAATTACCTTTATTTTAATTTCCACCATGTTAATTAATGTTCTGTGATCATGTGTCTTTAGAATATTTTCACACTCTATTTTCTCATTTGATTATTGTAACTCTTTGAAGTAGGCAGGGCAAGTGAGTATGTATTGTGTAAAGTAAACCCATGCATGGAAGGTTGAGGCGACTGGTCCTAGGCAAGAAACTAATAAATAACCCAGCTGGCGCTACACACTCAGAGTTAGCCAAACTGCAAGATTTACAGGACCAGTCCTCTGCACAAGCTCACTTTCACTTCTGACAACACTGCCAGTGCAGAGGGCTCCCAAAACCACTTTTAGGCTCAATAATTTACTAGAAGGTCTCATAGAACTCACATCAAGTTGTTATGCTTGTGACTACTCTATTACAAAGAAAGAATACAGGTTATGCTTGTGGCTACCCTGTTACAAAGAAAGAATACAGGTTAAAACATCCAAAGGTAGAAAGGCATAGGGCAGAGTTGCCTATTACTTTATATTTACCAAGAATAACTACTATAACTACTTTAAATGCTGGCTTGAGGCTTGCTTTTTATTCTTAACATTCTCTCCCCAACTTTTTTTTAAAGCTCTGGGTTTCCTTCATTATCCTGTGGAAGTAGTGGCAGCAGTTCATCCAACACGGCTGTAAATTCTCCTGCCTTGTCCTATAGACTCAGCATTGGTGAGTCCATCACCAACAGACGAGACTCCACTACAACCTTCAGTAGCACCAGGAGCTTGGCCAAACTTCTGCAAGAGCGAGGCATCTCTGCCAAAGTGTACCACAGCCCAGTTTCAGAGGACCCCGTCCTCCAGCCTCTCCCTAAAGCCTTGGCTATCCCTTCCACACCACCAAATTCACCATCTCAGTCACCTTGCCCTTCTCCTTTGCCCTTTGAGCCTCGAGTGCATCTCTCTGAAAATTTTTTGGCCTCTCGACCAGCTGAGACATTCCTCCAGGAGATGTATGGCTTGAGACCCTCCCGGAACCCTCCTGATGTTGGCCAGTTGAAGATGAACTTAGTGGACAGGCTGAAGAGACTGGGAATAGCCAGAGTGGTCAAGACTTCTGGTGCCCAAGAGAATGGAAGATACCAGGAGGCAGAAACTGGTCTTCAAAAACCAGATTCTGCTGTTTATTTAAATTCAGGGAGCAGTTTATTGAGTGGACTAAGGAGAAATCAGAGTCTTCCAGTCATAATGGGTAGCTTTGCTGCCCCAGTTTGCACATCCTCACCCAAAATGGGTGTCCTGAAGGAGGACTGAGGCTCAGCAGTTAACTGACCTCTTATACAAATGAGCACCTGAGGCTAGCTATGCACTGAAACATGTGGTCTGGTCTGACTTGAGAGTAAAGGAATGTTGCACAAGGGTTGTGAATGTGAAAGGGGGAATGGAGGAATTGAAGCAAAATTGGGGTGAGCCCTAATGGATGAAGGCTGGCAAATTGGAAGTATAAATGAATGGGCCAAGAGTGTTCAGAGGCAGGAAAGAAAGGTTTAATATACTCCTTCAGTTGAGTTTTCTTGTCTTGAAAATAAAAAGTGAATAATAAAGAAATTCACTAATCCTGAAACATACAGAGATACTGAACTTGCTGGCACATTTACTTCTGGTAAGCATAAAGCAGAGAGAACCCAGGTTGGAAGAATGAGAAGAGAAAAGGAGCAGTTATGTTGCTTATAGAAAGCCGCTCTGAAGGTTTGGTGGGGTAAGCTCAGTGTGTTACCGAGACAATGGTGAGATGGCTTATATGTTTTCCCCGTTAATGTCTGGCTAAATTACGCATCTATCAAATGATATGCTCACAGCATTAGCAAAATTAGGAGTTTCATCTTTTTTATTGAATCACAGGTGGAGACTCCTATTTTCCTTTCTGCTTTCAGGCCTTTGAGCCCCTAGCAGCCCAAATACCACTCAATTATTTTGTATTTATGATTAATAAAAGTTCATTTTTTAAAATTGGTATTTTTATATAACCTCCAAAAAAAAAAAAAAAAAAAAAAAAAAACAGCTGGGGAGAGATGGGAGAGATTTACTTTTAAGAAGGAAAATGTGAGGCTGGGCATGGTAGCTCATGCCTGTAATCCCACACTTTGAGAGGCTGAGGTGGGTGGATCACAAGGTCAAAAGATTGAAACCATTCTGGCCAACACAGTGAAACCCCATCTCTACTAAAAATACAGAAATATTAGCCGGGCATGGTGGCACGCACTTGTGGTCCCAGCTACTTGGGAGGCTGAGGTGGAAGAATCGCCTGAACCTAGGAGGCGGAGGTTGCAGTGAGCCGAGATTGCGCCACTGCACTCCAGCCTGGTGATAGAACAAGACTCCATCTCAAAAAAAAAAGAAAAAAAAAAAAGGAAAATGTGAGTAAATTGGAACTAAGAAAACTTGTTTATAGAATATTTCTTCTGAATAAGTACAGTAGCCAAGGAATACAAACATAATTGCGTGTTTTTAAAAATTCCTTGGAGGCTGGAAGGGGTTAAGCCAGAAGTGCAATCAATAGGAACTAGGGAATGTTATATATTTATATATGTAAAATTTTTTTGTAAGAAAAGTTGGTTGCAACTAAACCAACTTTTTCCAAAGTGTGCTATGCATATTTTTAATGAAAGGTGACATGAATTTGCACAAAAATTCTCAGGCACATTAAATTATTATGAACTGAAGTAAAACCCAGGTGCTTGCTTTGAGATTGTGGTTTTTTTCCTAATGTAAAATAAAATAAAACACATCTGCCTTGTTCTTGATATTTGTAGAATTAGAGAATAAACTTTTTAAGGGAGGAGTCAAAGCTGCTTCTTTTTCTCTAAGGTTCTTTTTTTTTTTTTTAATGCAAACTATGAAATGGCAAAGTGGGGCTTTGGGGTTAGGTTTCAGCATTCAGCAGTTGTCATAGGCTAAGAAATGGAAAGAAGATCTGTTTTTTCTCAATGTTGCTGAGCAAAGTCTGCTTCTCATCAGATGACATGGCTTTGTCTAGGCAGCTCACAGTTCAGAAAGAAATGCCTTTATACAAAAGACATGGTAGAGAAAAGATGAGAGAGGGAACTAATTATTTTGTTTATGAAAATGCGAAGTAAATTACTTGATTTTTTTTTGGTGCTTTATTTGCAAATGTTTTGTTCCTTTGTCCTGACTTAAAGGCAGTTTTCTGAACAATTCTTGACTTTTACTCCTATGGTTCCCATAGGCATACCTATTAGCAGGCCAAGGAGGGAGGGTCCTTCCTCTCTCCTTTTGAGGCGCCCCCACCCTGCCAGCCCCCCTGCTTAAAGCTATGTGCTCAAAAGGCTAGAAAAGCCTGCATAGAGTGGTAAAAATGTGTTAGTTTCTCATACTTCTTAGAATCTCTTAATAAAATTTTTCTAAGTAAATTCCACAAAAACAAATGGTTGGAGATGGTCTCTCCTTTTCGGTCCCTTCACTCAGTCATGCTGAGGTCAACAGAGCGTACACATTCAGGAAGGATTCCAGCAGGTTCATGCGTAAATGTAAGTGTCCCTGAGTGGGGCAGGCATTAAATAGAAGAATCCCTGCTGTTTACATTTCCCACATATTCCAGTTCACTTTTTAAAAGTGCTGTTTGAATTTCTATTTCATAAAGTGACTATGGGGTGCTCACTTTAGCCAATTCTTAAAAGTTTTTTATTTGTTCTCTAAGAAAGTAATTAATGCTCCTGTTGCCTGGATAGTTACAGTTTCCAAGAAACATCAGGAAGTAGGAAACTGTAGGGCCAGAGAGTGGTACAAAAATTGTCCAATTAAGTGTATTACATAAAACTATAAATTGTACTAGGTTTTGCCATGTTGTGTGTTGAGTATAATTTTTATGCTTTTTTATAATTAATGACAAAATGATCACTTTGGAGGCAGAGTGGTGGGGGCATATTAGCAGCCAGATAAGCACATCTGATTTTTTTTTAAAAAAAGATTTTTTTTTTAAGTATATTGATGTTGATGTTCCACCAGAAACACCTTAACTGTATACTGGTGCGTAATGCCTCTAGAAATGAATCTTGTCTTAAAACTGAGTTTTGCTGTTTTTGAAGTTTCCACCTGAAATCCTTTTTGGTGTATCCTGATAATCTCTATAATACTAGAATTGTCTGCAAAATATAGTAAGAAGAATTGAAGCCTAATAGCTGGTTCCTCCCAATTTATCTGTTATATTTTGGTACTATTCACATTTTAGTTTTTTTCTATGATAAAAATTGTATATGTACTTTCATGTCAGTATAGAAAACCTCAATATTTTTTTTCTCCTTCAATAAGTGATTATACCTCTAGTATTTCTGAGTATCCTATTATCTAGTAGGAGAGATATCTTCTCAAGCTCGGAATTGAAAGTTCTCCTAAATTATGAAGATCTCAAATCTTATGTAAATAACCTTAGGCATGGGTCCTTAGGGAGAAGTTAATGACCATTGTTAAAGTAGTTTTTTGGAAGTTGTGCTATATGTTCTTGATTTGACATAAATGAATAGACCTTGGCAAGGGAGGAAATAAGTTACAAGGCAGCTTACAAGAGGCTGTTCTCTTTAAAAGGTATAATTTTACGCAGTACTCAAAGCTTGTTATCTTTTCTGACCATTTTAGTACAGAATTAGTACTTGGCGGTTACTAACATCAACTTGTGACATCTATAACTAGGGCTCTTCGTGTTTAGTGGGCCGCTTCTCTGATGTCAGATGCATGCAGACCTGTACTCCACATGCAACCCAACAGCAGTGCAGTGTGATGACTGAGTGGTCGAATGGAAGAGCACATCCCCTCAGAGTGGGCACAGGTGCCCTCTGTGGCAGCCAGGGGAATGCTGTTGTTTGATACCTGGGATTTGACTTTGTCAAACAGCTCTTTGTGCACCTATCTTTGTTTTGTCAAATGTAAATCAGTTAATAAACATGAGTAGCTAAAATTTTCATTTGTCTCCCTGTGTTTTCGTCACAGCTGTTTGCACAGGTAATCCTGCACTAAATCTTTCTTTTCTATTGTGTTTTTGGTTAGGAAACAACCTCTACTTGTCAAACCAGCACACACACAAGAAACCACTAATAGTCATAAGGAGTAAACAATCTTAATGTATTTTTCTAGATTTTTTTTAAATAGAACAGGCAATATCTATGTATATCATAATACTTCCTTAGCAAAAGTAACAGCAACATAAGAGTAAAATCTAAAGTCATAGATAATGCAGATACTAAATTTGAGAAGATTCGAGAAGTGTGAAGCAGTTACTTCGTTACAGTCCACAGTTTTCTGTTGACTCTCTTAGCTATTTAAAAATTGTTTCCAAGAAACTAAATTTGAACTTCGCTGGACTCTTAACAGAAAAGGTCTTTTGATAGTCTATCTTCTTCACAATTTAATTTCTGTATTTTTTTAATAATTTCCATTTTTATTTTAGATTCAGGGGTACATGTGCAGGTTTGTTACCTGGATATGGGTGACATGATCAATACTATACTCTGTACCTGGGTGACAGGATCAATCATACGCTAAGCCTCAGTGTACTGTACTCCACATGCAACCCAACAGCAGTGCAGTGTGATGACTGAGTATACTGAGGCTTAGCGTATGATTGATCCTGTCACCCAGGTACAGAGTATGGTATTCAATAAGTAGTTTTTCAACCCTTTCCCTTCTCCATCCCCATTGTAATAGCCCCCACTTTCTATTGTTGCCATCTTTATGTCTTTGAGTAGCCAATGTTTACCTCCCACTTGTAAGTGAGAACATACAGTATTTGGTTTCTGTTTCTTTGTTAATTTGCTTAGGATAATGGCCTCCAGCTACGTCCATGTTGTTGTGAAGGACATGATTTCAGGGTTTTTTATGGCTGCGTATTATTACATGGTGTGTATGTACCATGTTTTCCTTATCCAGTCCACCGCTGATGGACACTTAGATTGATTCCACGTCTTTGCTAGTGTGAATAATGCTGTGATGAACATGAATGTACCTATCTTTTTGTAGAATGATTTATTTTCTTTTGGATATATACCCAATAATGGAATTACTGGGTTGAATGGTAGTTCTGTTTTAATTTCTTTGAGAAATCTCCAAAGTGGCTGAGCTAATTTACATTCCCACTAACAGTGTATGAGCATTCCCTTTTCTCCACAGCCTCGCTAGTATGTTTTTTGTTTGTTCATTTTGAGACAGAGTCTCGCTCTGTCACCCAGGCTTGAGTGCAGTCGTGCAATCATGGCACACTGCAACCTCAACCTCCTGAGCTCAATGAATCCTCCCACCTCAACTTCCCAAGTAGCTGGAACTACAGGCATATGCCACCATGCCCAGTTAATTTTTGTATGTTTTACAGAGATGGGACTCACCATGCTGCCCAGGCTGGCCTCAAATTCCTGAACTCAAGCGATTCTCCTACCTTGGACTCTGAAAGTGCTGGAATTACAGATGTGAGCCACTGCTCCTGGCACATATCTTATTTTTTGACTTTTTAGTGATAGACATTCTGACTGGTGTGAGATGTCATAGTCATAGTAGTTTTGATTTGCATTTCTCTGATGATTAGTGATGTTGAGCATTTTTTCATGTTGTCCACTTGTGTGTCTTCTTTTGAGAAGTGTTTGTTCATGTGTTTTGATCATTTTTAAATGGATTTATTTGTTTTTTTGCTCATTCAGTTGTTTAAGTTCCTTAGAGAACCTGGATATTAGACCTTTGTCAGATGCAGAGTTGGCGAATATTTTTCTCACATTATATAGGTTATCTATTTACTACTGAGGGCTTAGTCATACATTCTTTCCCAAGGCCCATGTCCAAAATAGTGTTTCCTAGGTTTCTTTTAGGATTCTTATAGTGTGAGGTCTTATATTTAAATCATTAATCCATCTTTGTATATATGGTGAAAGGTAAGGGTCCAGTTTCATTCTTCTGCATATGGCTGACCAGCTATCCCATCACCATTTATTGGATAGGGATTTCCCCACTGC